AAATCTCTCCAGCTGACTCAACGCGTAACCATTCAACATTACCTAATCTACATTGGCTTGTAGTGCATAAATTACTTTTCATAATAATAATTATAACATTCCACAATATGCTCAGTTCTTAGCCTTAAGCCTTAAGTTAAATTAATTTCCTTTTTATCCCGGTCATTATTTTCTCATGTAATACCCATATTGCTGATAAAATTCAGTGTTAAACTGCCTTTTTCCTTTAAAGCAACTGAATGGATATAACTTATAACATGACCCATTATATTGCTCTTAATAAATAATAATAATAATGATAATAAATAATAATAATAAATAATAAAGGTTATCAGCTTTAAAAGTTCTGAGTTATACACCCACGTTAACAGGAATGGGGCATCTTTTCAATTAATATAAGAATACATGGAGAGATTATGCTTTCATTTTGACGTGAAGTTAGCTAGATTTATACCGAAGTGATTCGTACCATTTCTCAGTTTACATAATGAGAAAACAGATAACGAGGCATGAGAATTCAAGTTTTTCACTGTTCAGTGAGGAAATTTAAAGTTCCCAATATTTTACAGCATACACAATCAGAAATTTCCAAACATGGTGAAAGGTAACAGTCCCTTCAGCGAGAAAATCGACTTCACAAAAAGGTTTTCTTGGAATTTCTATCTCTCCTTAAGTAGCAGTATATCATAATGTCCTATATCAAATAAAAAAATCTTCCAACATATGTTAGTAATTTATGGTGATTTCAAGAGTCAAAAGACTGTAACATAATAAAAAATACAGGAACTCATATGTTATAGCATCTGGTTCACCAAAAGATTTCCAGCACTCTAGTGAATCTTTGAAGTTTCATACGAATTATCAAACATTTTATAACGAACTATACTGTCAGTGTGCACACGGTCCTCAAAATAATATTCATTACAGAACAATGCAGCTATGTGTACGTTTCTGCGTACATGAGAGAATTAGGAAGATGAGGGAAACGGAAGATTACCTTAGTTTCGCGTCCATTACGATGTACAGCCAGGTATATACACCTGTTTCATGAATTATAAATATATCTAACTGCAGTAATGATCGATATAAATCACACAAGTAAACAGCAATCGGCTGCTGAAAGTATTAACCTATTTATTGACTTGTGAAGGACTGATTAACTTAAAAGTCGATGGCATCACAGAATGACGTCAGTTGGAGGACCATTGAAAACTTTGGAGCTTTGAACACCCACTTCCTCATGAGCTGAGACTTACAATATGGTTCCACGATCCCAAAATTAATTGAAACCCCCACCATCAAGTGTTACATCCAGCATGCTGTCACTCAGCCACTGGTTCACGCAATCTCGCTTCTGTCAACTCACGATATATGATGTTTATCATTCAATGTCACTGATAAGTATATATTTTCACACCGAACCTGGTCCACTTCACAAGTTCCATTAGAACTAGTCTGTAAGCTACAAAAATGCGATATGGCTTGATGACCAAAAGATGTGCAAAATATGCAAACTACTAATTAGTAGTATTGTAAATTACAATGAATAAATACTACAATGATTATAAAAGAGACCTTGAGTTACTTTAAGCGAATACACACATGATTGCTGAAGACTTTTGAGTTTGACCTCAAGCTTACCTGCTCATCTTTCATCTCACCGAAGATGACCTGTTTATCGAAGTATTTCTCTAACTGCCTGATAGATTGAGATATCCCCGTTTGAACAAAAATATCTGGGACAGTATGACTCAATCGAGATGAGTATGTCGCTTTCATTGAGGTCAATTAATGGTGGATGAAGTGTCAATCACTTTCAAATTTATCAAACTTTGTACGTGTTGTCATCTTCATCTTTACTACAACATTCCAGTTTGCCAAATCGACTAGTTATTGCACCTGAATAACATGAGTTTGGTAACACTTACAGATTTGATCGTTAAGGTGTTACTAGTGATGATGTAAAAATTGAGTTCCAATAGGAAAGACTGTATGGTAATCTATAAAGTGATGCTCAACTCATGGCTTGCATCAGATTTTTATTTCATCTTCAATCATCATCCATTATTAATCACAAAAATATAATTTAACAAGGTATGAGATTTCTCTAGATGTGAAGAATGCTAGTTTTGTACCGATTTGACCATTTGGTATTTTTCAGCAATAACAGCTGAGAAATCACAGCATTTTCCGAGCAGCAGTTTACTTGGGATGAATGAACATTGCACATGTATATCTGCTGGTAATCTAAATAAAATGCAATATTCCTGCGCCCTAAACACGTGTTGTAAGTAGGATTTCAACAGTTATTTCTCTAATATAAACAACAAAATACATTCGTTGTTACAATTTAGTTAGTTGTAGCTAGCAGAAGAATCTACGACGCGTGTTCCGTATAAAAACGGAGAATTACAAGTATATCAACAAACAGTAAGAATACATTCCATTTTCTATCTGACACTTCTCAATACCCCATTCGTAAATGGCTCTAGTAAAGTCGAAATTCAATAGCTCTCATGTACCCTAAGGTACTGAGGAATCTTTTCTTCGTTCCCCACGGTAATATGTTATTTCAGCCTGACAGATACTACAATTTTCACTATGGGCGACCCCAAATCAAATGACCTCCTTGAAAATAATCGAAAAGTGATCATGATCTATCAATTCACACCAATGTTCATCACTGTTGTAGCACCACAACTTTTACTTCTTGCCCACATTCAAAAATCTAGTCTCTTGGATTTTGATCCTTAACGATTTGACCGATAAAAGGGTTGTAAATCCATAGAGTTAATGTGAGGAAAGGCAGTCCCAAAGAGGTTTGTGTACAAGGCCATGAGCCACACTTGTGTGCAGATCCCCGATACTTTACCTGCTTGTGACTAGTAGAGGAACTCAATTAGCACGTTCCGTCCAATCCAGGACTCACCAGCTAGATGTAACCGCACCGCAGTTTGTGGTGTTACTCCCACTGAGATTCTAACTTCGTACATATCGCTTGAAACGCCAAGTCGTTACCCACTAGGCCACTGAGGTACGGTTGTCACCTCTTGTACAACGGGTATTGGCTATTACTATTTGTTGACATACTCATAATTCTCCTTCATAATACTAAGTCAAATTGTTCGACCTCTGTTGGTTTCCAGGTGAAAGGTTGATTGGGAGCAGTATCTAACTGGAATGATTGCAATTTCCTGGGTAAAACTTGGATATGTGTAGTGATTAGTCACTGAAGGGCAACCGATTAAACGTCCCCTAGTCCTAAATACTGACCACATTTCATCTGCCACAGAATACCTATAACTTTTCATTGCATGATTGCTTCCCCACAAACTGGACAATAATAATTCCTGTGGTTCGTAATTAACAAAGATAGGTGATCAACATATCCTATTCAATCAGTAGTGATTACAACACAACCACCATACAATTGTAAGTTGTCATCCAACTCATCACTAATCAAAGTGTGAGAATTAGGCTTGACTGCCCATCAAACATCCCCCAATGATCCTACGTAATATGATGTAAAGAACGAAGAACTCTGTGTCGTGGTCGCCGTCATTTTACATATAACGTAGCTAAACCAACGTATCACGATCCTATCCTCATCCACTAAAACATCTCTCAGCTTTCATCCTTTAAATATTGGTGAGGTTCAATCCATAGGCATAAAGAACACCACTGAATCTCTATCAGCTCATCAGTAGACTTTCAGAGCATTTTTGAAGCCTTCCTAGTACTGTGAGCAATACTACTCAGTAAGTTAGTAAACGTTCCAGCACTTGGTCATGAGTCAAATTCTTCATATGATGGCGTTCGATTGGGTATTAGTTGCTCAGAATGAAGTAGGTAGAGTGAGATTTGAAACAGTCACACATCAGCTGAAAGCCGAGTCTCGAAGCCAGTGATGTGTAGGGAATAGCTTCGGAAAATCGTCTTCACTAATGAGTAATTGTCACTTGGATGCACTTCAATCTCGAGATGCTCCTCGCTCAATCTGCAACCACCAACTCGAGAAACGGCATGTTCTCAACACGTTGGTGGTCGTTTGTCTATCATTCTCTAAATATCATCCGACAACTTGTTAGGCAATATCAAATAGATAGTCTAGTCATATCTGTAATTCGAACCACTGTCGAACATAAGACGTCCGTCATTGTAGCATCAAACACATTTATTAATGCAGGCAGTGAAGCATATTCCATCAACGACAATGCTTTCCAATTTCAATCTTTCATATCCACTTTCTTTTCCTTCTATGCTAACTACGATTTACATAATGTTTACGATATTTGTAGCTGGAAGTGTGACTGATTGTTTGACACTGTCATCTACCTCACCTAGGAACACATCAATAAGGTGCAATGCCTGTGGTGAAATACGAGTTATATATCCCCCAGACATCTCCAAATATCGACTATGATTGTCTCAATGATGCAAAAACAGAAGCCTAAATTTCCGTACACGGGTCTGTCAAGAAGCTGACAACCTAGTGGATTAGTATCCCACCTAGATTCGTACACATTCAACCTCACAACAACCTTAACTTCATTAATCTAGCGAGCACATTGCACTGATGTAGCCACCAGCTTCTTATGTGGAATTCACGCTCTAAACCATCTCAATTGGTGTAGTCACACGACTTCATCGACTCAGTTCCTCTCGTCACCACCCACGACCATATACATGATTCCCACACTGACCATGTAGTGGTAGACGTATGTCGGCGACATTATGGTGGTGACGGTATTCGAATACCTAAAGACTACGATTTCTTCCAATCCATCTTGAAGCTGACGAGGACTCAGCAGTATTATTACCCACTGCTTAGAAAATATCCTAGAAGGGGAAAGTGCTGCACGAACTGAGGCTTCCAATTCTCAGAAATTTGAAACTGCACAGTACTGATCATTATTCGACTGACTTTTCCTAACAAGTCTACCAACTCTACCCAACCTAAATGTGCATTTGTCGACATATATTTTATTCACAGCAAAAATGATGCATTGTAATCATGTATTTAATCTTTTGAATGTTACACAAAATGAAGTAGTATGCGATATCTAGAAATTAGGCAAGGTAATCTAGGAAGGAGTTGAATGATAAAACTCCGGAGAGAAATTTCAATGTTGGATCTTTTGTGTTCCATTCTTTTATCCACTGAACTATCTTCTGCTTTTCAATTTCTCTGGCCTTCATAACACTTTCCGGATCAGCGGGATTAGGAGATCTCAAGTCTAGATGATGAGCAGCATCAGAAATATTGATGACGGTAGAGAAGGGGACATAACTGTTATTCGGAATCGATAGTGCAGACCAAGGATCAATCTCACCATTGCTGTAAACCAAAATGAAGTAGAAAATGTTTTTATACATTTGTTGGGAAATTACGAAATAATGAATCTGTTGATAGAGAACTCAATATTATTTCACTGCATTGGTCCCAAATGACAAATGTCCTTGTAGGCTAGTACACATCAATCTACATCCACACACACACACACACACACACACACACACACACACACACACACACACACACACACAGTTGGTGGGTTGCATTTGTCTCTCAACAACCAATATGACAGAAAGGAATACACTTATAGAAAATCACCTCCAAAAGTGTTTTACAATCAGTCACAGTAGTATGCGTTCATTAGTGATAATATTTAATGAAAACTATTGAGCGAACAAATGGTTTGCTTAAAGATAGAAATGTGGTTGTTATAAACAAACCCTACAAGGTTTAAATACGAAGACTAAGCCAGGTAATAAACTACCGGAATGTACATTACGAGATGAGTAGAGTATGGTGTTACAGCTGCGTCGTCACAACAACCCACCACCATCAATAACTTTAGACATAAATGTCAAATATTACTTGACGTGGTAGTTACTGAAGTTAACCAACTAGTGGATTTAGACACAATATTGTGCATAACGTGAAGTTAGAAACTAGATAGTGAATTTTCATTGATATCAGCTTCTCATCTCTCCAATATTATCACAGGGAAGGAGGTGGAGAGACTTAAACTGGAACACGTTCCACATTCCATCCCGAAGATGAGGATATCAAGGGTATATTTATCACAGGACAGTTACTCATCTTACAGATAGACAAATCGACATAAAAACCTGTCCAAATCAAGATCAGTTCCCACCCTACCATCATCTTCTGCAATGACAGGGAAGATCAACGTAGAACTTCACACACAAGTGCATCACTTCAAATTTTCTCACTTCACATCAGTACATAAAGAACAACTGGATAGAGAAAAACTGATGTCAAATTAGACATAGGTGTATTGTAGAGAGTGGATTTACAGATAATGGTTGATCAAAACACTCAGGCAATGTTGCGCGCATTCAACGCGATACTACAAAATGCGAGTGTAATATGCAGTGGAGGCTGTTCAAATGTATGAAAATGAGGAGTCTGTTTATGCAACGACAATGAGTGGTGATGGGCAGCGAAATTTGCAGGAATAGATAGGTGATAAATCCGCAATATCTAGTGAACAGCTATGTTTACTTATGACACAGACTGGCATGAAAAGTCATAAAGTAGTGAGATTCTATCGATGAATTATGGTCTGATATCCACACATCAGGAAAACCACTGGCGAGATGAGTAGATTTTGAGGAGCAGTTTTGCTGACTTTAATTCAATATTCAGTTGGTGTCTATGTGTGACATGGACATCAGGTTTCCAGGTCTGCTTCAATTGGGAAGGTTGTGACTTGAAACGAAGGCATTGTGTGTTGATGAGGTACTATGATTGATAAAGAATGTACTGAAGTAATGTGATCAACGATGGCTAGGTGAACAAATATACCATGTAGGGAATGACAATCAGAAGCGATATTTTTCAACTGGTCTGAATGATTGATGTTCCATGTACAAAGAGTAGAAAAGAATCTTCTCGTCATAAACACAGAAATCAACAAACGTGATCTGTAGAATCCCGAGTTCCATAACATCTAACGGTGAATACTGAGACTTGGCAATGGTCAACTCGAAAAAATTACTCACGTTCAGCTAGATCTGCTTCTTTTAAATTCCAGATCATGAGTATGTACATTGTCAGTGGACACTAGCTAGGAGTAATTCTTCATACGAAAGTGTTACTCGATTAGGTTGATCGAGAGATCTAATGGTGTGGGAATATGTTGCCTTTCTGAGGACTCTATGTTAGAACATCTACGGTCGCATCTACTCTATATTCATGAGTACTGTCCGTTGGAAATAAACACGGTTCATTTTTCTAACTTCATATGTATTGATAACCGAGTAGATTCCATCATAATAATAACTAGAGGTTGGAGGTTAACGAAATTTCGTTACATATACAAAAGGCTCGATTAACTTTTGATAATATGAATCATGGATGTTGCGGACAACACATTCAAGTACCTACTATGTGTGAGCGTATTGAGCAGTAGATCATTCTGGTTGTAGCTGAGAAACATAGTGATTGAAGATGAAGTGTGCGCAGTGGTTTCAGCTATCTTATCATCCTCGTCCAATTTTCACAGCTGACGATTAGTGAGATTGCCACGTGAGAGATGCAAAGATTATACTTAAATTATTTGAAGATAGATCAATTGCTGAAACTTTTAGTCACTGTCGAGTGGAATACTTGTCAAGGCTACCTTTTCTAATAGGATGATGGTGAATTGGAAGTAGTCTAAATGTAGTCAGGACACGTGGTCGGGGCGCCAAAGCATGCTGCATCTGACTGCCAGTCTTACATGTGTAGATGAGTGCTGTCTTCTGGTTGGAGTGTATGAAATAATAAAAATTCATAAACAGAGGACAGAAATGCACTTACTTCACATCTTCAAATAAATCTTTCAAGACCTTCATTAGGGGATATTTCAATTCCCTTCATCATCTCTGTATCCAGTTTCCTCATAGCATGTTGTAATTGCTCACACGATTACTTGCAAAATTTTATCTTGGTTTCGTTGATTTCGCCTCATTGAACTGAAGTATGGTGAGTTAAGTCGATAAGGTAATCAGTCATGCAGCCTTATGCATGTATGGATTTGAAACTATGACCAAACGCTTATCGATTGAGTGCCCAAGTCACTAGACTACAGGGCAACCTATGAAATTATGTTATTAGATCCGTATAGTGATCGAAACGTTGATGTCCAAAAGACGGACTGACAAAAAGACGAATCAAGCTGGAACATAGCACATGAGTACATCATCAGTTCACTTTGCCACTCCCCATACCAAAGGAGATGGGGGAAATGAACACAAAAGATTAACATTGTAGTCGACAAAAAAAGTGAATGAAAGCCTTTAGTTACTCATTTCCAACACCAACCGATTCACCAGACGAAACAAACAGTCAGAAACTTCATGAAGTTTCTCACTAGGTTTCGATCAGACTTACACCCAACTTACTTTTATAGTGATCCCACATCAGTTCCTACGGTGCATTAATGCAGGCAGATGGTGGGGGGTGGCTGGAGGAGTGCAAAACAATTTGAATTTTCAAACTTGTTTGTTACTCATATATGGTTCAGAAACCCAACAGTTAAACTACATGTTTGTTACAGATTACACACGTACGTCACTAATTACTCACGAATGATCATATCAACAAACTTAATTTATGAACGAGTTTACCTATTCAGATTCGTCATTCTTCTGTAAATGTCCCTAAACAAAGTTATAGTTGATGCGAATTCAATGTGTTGAAAGCATTTACTTGCAATCGTCTGCAGAACTGTTCGTTAGAAAGCATGCATTATGTGCTATGTAGACATATGGCCATGTAAATGTACAAGGATACAAAAGATTGCTTATGGAGAATAGTTAAGAGTAGGTAGGATAACAATTGATCTTACTATGTAAACTATGTAAAATGAGCTCATTTTATTCTGCTAATTTATTTTAGCACAAAATCATTTTAAAAGGGGGATGAATAAATGCGCTACATAACGTAATGTAACAGCATTATGCAGTCAAAATATGTACGATGTAACAAAGTTACTTCAGAAACATGCATCCAACTAAAACATTCAAAGTACTTGTGTTGCTTTACACACACACAGAGGATGCAAAATCTACATGACCACCATGGATTCCAATTCCAACCTATGTCTGAAATCGTCTAAATCTATGGAGTTTCGCGAACTCTCACATCCCTTCCAGAGATTCATGAGGTAGAGACATATACTAAACCAAAATAACTATCTTTAATCTCACGCAAAGATGTTTGTCAGACACATCCAAGCCACTGAAGTAGGTGTTTGAAGATGACTTCATTCAAAATGAATGATGAGAATAAACCCAACCGAAAACATACCACCTCAACTCGAAAATATTTACAGGGTATTTTCATTAGGTGTTGGCAATCCTACGGATACAACGGTCACTGGACATGAAGAGTCATCCGCAATCCTCAGCTCAAAAAGGTTATTCTTCATATTTGGAGAGCAGATGTGACCATGACGAAGCTTTATGCAATACCCAACTTTTAACAACATGATCAACGACGTCATGATGGAACCAGAGGTGACAATGAATGCCTCTGGTCTTGAGTATACGATCACAAACTTCATGAGTTAAAACACCGACAATCGCGCAACTACCTAAGCAAACAAGCTTCTCGACAACTACTAATGGTTCATCGAGAAGGATGAGTGGGAGCACAGGTTACTTCCTGCCCACCTTCTAAAAGCACTATGCACTTTGACGGTTAGAAACATACCATACTTGTGGAATTTGATCGCCAAGTGACTGAGTGCAATTTGAGTAGTTTGTATGTTGTTAGAGAGTAAGACGATATTGTCCACATACTATCCGTCGACAAAATCTTCCTACTGCCAAAGGACAACCACTACCACCTCGATGAACCTCGCTCACAATCGTCTCAAAACTGACATCGATTGCAAACTTGAAGAAAACAGCCTTACCTAATGGTTTTCCTGCTAACAGACAATGCAGAGAGGTGATGATGAACCTTCATTTTACATCAGGTGGTTTTATATTGGTGCACTAAAGATGGAGATAAACGTCTCAGGAGCAAACTCATCCAACAAGCAATTCTAAAGAACAGCCCAACCCAAATTTTGGAAAAAGTACTAATATCTAGAAACACAATGATTGGTGACTTGTAATAAGTCAAACACTGTACAAGATTTTGATGAAGGGTGAACATGTGACTAATATGACCTGAACAGCATGCTTCTCGTGAATGAGATATTGACGTGTTCGGTAGTCATTAATTTTTGGTAACAACTAGTGTCTTTGTAGTAACTGGGCTGAAGGCGACTACTGTCACATAAAAATACAAATAATAATCTCATAAATGTTCCTTGCCTGAATAATATGTTGGTCGAAGTAGAAACTGATTTACTCCAGAATTCAACTCTTGACCAATTAACACGGGGAATTACACCATATCGACTTTGACAGTAAGCTGAGAAGGTGTTGAGATCCCAATTTACTTGAGGCATTATATTTACGGGACCTGATGCGCACATAGGTGTTGTCATTTCCATGCAAGTCTGTAAAATATAGTAATGAAGTTGAAAACGATTAAAGAAACTACGCTGTCGATAAAAGAATTAACATAAGAATGGAGAGTCAAGAGCAAATGTTTGCAGGATACAGTCCAAGGTTAAGAATAAACTGTCTGCTACAACCTTGTTGCAAAAGCACACACTAAGATATCTATTGTGAATCGAAAATGTTAGCTTGAAAAGATATATAGTGCATGCTACTTACTGTCAAAAGCAGCTGGAAACCATTTAAGCGAATCTCTATAGATCACTTACTAGAAGAGAGTACACCAAACACTGAATCCCCATTTCACTTATCTGGAGGTATAAGTCCATAAATGTAATCATATTGAGCAAGACTAGAAGACTAAATTCTTTATGACTACTCTAATTGAAGGCAACAACTAAAAACTAATATATCAGAAATATATGAGTCCTGATACATCAACATCACTCACTGATCGGAAACCATAACTTCTAAGATGAAGAGCATGCTTTGAGTCATCATATGATGCATGCTGATTAACTTCACCAAATGATTTATCATGATTTGGAATACTATCCTCTTAATCTCTGCATATTCTCATCCCATAACCCTTGTACAGGTGAAAAAGTTGATGTTTAAATATATGTTATCCTAGGTTGCCTATGTAAAATAGCATATCTGTTTGCTGGAACATGGTAAAGTTTTGTTGACTGGTAATCAGACATCTTGTGAACTGATGAACTTAAAGGACTCTTCAAACTTGCCATACATCATGACACCTTTAAAATAAATATTTCTTATTATATAGAGGAATTCGACTTATAGGTGATCTTAGATTACCGAAAAAAACCGATAGAAAACATTCTAAAGTACAGTTTGATGAGAGAGAAAAAGTTGAACACAATATATATAAACTAAAACTTTATCAAAGTTTAAAATTTTGAAACTAATTTTTTTCAACCATCATCTTTGTTGATTCATCTTCTTTCAAAACATTTCAAGTTATGAGTTTAAGCCTACATTTTAATGTAATATTAAACAATAAATGTTTGTGGATTTGAATGACTAAACCACTGTGGAATTTAATGAACCACCACGTCCGCTAAACTTCCACATTTCTATTATGTCATCGCATCAGAACAAAACACCAGAAACTTTATGCCAAGTACTTAATAAAGTGGCATTCAAACCAATAAACTCATTCAGAGAGAAACTTTATCCGCTTCAAGATTCAATTGAACAAAATAATTCAATCTACCTAATACTGTACAGTGACAGTGAGATCGTAAAGAAGAGATAATTTAGCGAAGAAAAGTCTGTTTTTCAACGATATCATTTTCTGAAGCTGTACAATCGTATTTATAAATATCACAGACGTACATGTTAGTCGGGTGAAATCTTTGGTGATTAAAGTGGGATAAAAAATAGTCATCAACCCAGTCTCGTAGCTCAGTTGGTAGAGCACCGATCCAGAAACCTGGTGGTCGCTTGTTCGAATCCCACCGTGGCCCAAATTTTCATTTTACCTTCAATCATCACCCAGTATCAATATTAATCTGCCAAACAACAGCTATATCAGACAATTAAAATGATAATCAATCTGATGCTTCCCTCTCTAATTCAAGTAGATTGGGATTGGGATGAGAAGTCCAGACTAGGCAACCGGTGTGAGTACAATCAAGTGATAATACCACGTCACAAATGCACCCGACACCCTCGGTGATTGAAGGGGAAAAATATCTGGACAGCAGTCCGGTCTCGTAGCTCAGTTGATAAAGTGCTGGGCCAAAAACGCGCAGCGGCCCAAATTTCCATTTCACCTTCAATTATCACCCGGTATCAATACTAACCTGCCAAACCCCGAATATCTCAAATGGTTAAAATGATAGACGTATAAAAAAACGGAGTATAGTTGTATCATTAAATTAGAGCTAAAAACTGAAATCAAGAACGAAAAGTGGTTGCGTAATAATCTTTTAGACAATGGAAATAATAAAAAGGTAAAGTACTTGACAAGGTGAAAATTGTTGGTATATATGAAACGCAACGGTGGAGTGTCCACTTGGTATGTATAAAGAAGATGAAGAAAGGAACAAGGGTCATAATGAAGGTGATAACAGTAAACAGACTAATTGTAATGAACTCTAAAAATTGTGAGTGCTGAGACCGTGGTAAGATAAGAGACTGAACATACTTCTGCATGCAGAGGTCAGACTTGAATTGGTGAATTACAAGTGTTCCTGCTTTGCAAAACTGCCGAGAGCGTACTTCTTTTGAACTATTCCCCTTGACTTTACAAATGATATTAAAGGAGAATTGTATTGAAGCTATATGTCCAGAGTTGACCAGATGTTCAAATTTTCCATTGAATAGTAATCAATTTGCTTCAAACAATTTTCGGTACAATTTGGAATTCTCACCATGATATATTCCAACAACAATATCATATATGTGTATATATATACTCTTTTACAACATTTTGAATAGTGTTATTATATAAGAATCTAAGTAATGTAAAGAACATTAATCAAATTATTGAAATCGGATTGTTAACCGTTACAAAGTTGATATGTGAGTCTTGTTCTAACACTTTTCTTCACATAATATGCGTGTTAGGTGAGGCACAATCGAATTCTTGTTCTTGGCTGTACGTGTGTATAGCATGACGCAATCTCTTCTTGTCCCCTCTAAGGAGATCCAAGGAGAGAGCTGTGAATGAAGTATATGCTCAATGTCAGTTAAGATAACTAGCTAGTTGCTTGCTAGAATCAAAATGTCTGTGAACTACAGTATAATCCAGTCGGACCAGAGGCACACTACTCAACCTATTGATGGCTTTCAAAGCCCTAAGCAATAGAATATAGTTCTTCTTTTAGTAGACCAAGAAAGATTAACTGAGCAAAATAGACAAGAATAGGACTAGGTAACTAGTTCACTAGTTACTAACCCATCCTAAGCCCGGATAAACAGGGAAGGTTGAGCGTAAGGCTACCAACCCTAACCCGGAAAACAAATCTAATCGCTAAGGAAACTTTAAAGCACGGACAAAATATAAAACATAAAATCTAACTTATTCCCCGCTGGAATCGGAGAGGCGAAATCACGCCAGTTGGTGAAAGCCTTCGACAAGCCAATCGACCGATCTGTCTTCTCTTCTCTCGATCAAAGCATAAGTAGGAATGGGGACATGGAATGCCCGAACAATTTTTAAACCTAGCAAGGCTGTCCAGATTGCCAAAGAGATGAGAAGGCATAGCAAAGAAGTGCTAGGAGCCTGCGAGAGATAAGCAGATGGAATCGAAGTAGACTCTCCGAACTGTCAACTAGAAAGCCAATAATCTGTCACCCAAAACGACAACAACGATCACACTGAGTTTTCGAGTGGCTATCATGATGTCCCCTTGAAGAGCATCGAAGGCTCTCATATTATGGGAACTAATCTCCTTCTGCAGGATCAGGATCATGACAGTAAGGTTCAACTCAAAACGAAGGAAAGTCACAATCATACAATGCCAAGACTGCGCAACTACAAATAATCCACATCAAGAGAAGAAGGAGAAATTCTACAGACAACTGCAAGCAACACTGGACAAGACCTCAGACAACAATGGCGACATCAAAATTCCAATGGGTGGGGTGACATGAATGTCAGCCAAACTGGGAGTGGACAACTAACAACGAGAACCAATCGTGGGTCGAGAAGCACTCGGTGAAGTGATGAACGAGAATGCAGAACTGTTTGCAGACTTCTGCACATTCAACGATTTGGTGATTGCAGGCAGTGTGTACAAACACAAGGATATTCACAAGGCAGCAACATAGATTTCACCAGACAACAGACACACTAAAAATCAGATCGACTTCATCTCAATCTCAACAAAGTGGAGACGCAGTCCACTCGACACAAGATCACATCAAGAAGGGGAGCAAATGTAGAGTCACACCACTCACTGTCCAGTGCAACCAACCTATCTTCATAATCAAGTTGAAAGCCTTCACAGAAGTTGGTGATAGACCACAGTCCAAGTTCAACACGCAGAACAGAAACTGAGGGTCAAAATTACAAAGGACATCTTCACGTCAACCAGTCAGTCATCAGGACAAAATGGGAGATATTGACAACATCCATGAAGAAACCTCGGTGGAAGAACATTAGAACTCTTTGGAAGAAAAGTAGAAAGAAACCTTCATAACTATACTAGGAAGGAAGAAGAAAGAAGACAAGACAAGACAAGGAATGGATCTCGACGGACACATGGAAGCTGATACAGCATTGAGAGGAAGACGGTGAGATAGAAGATAAACCACCGTCAGGATGAACAACGAAAACAGGAACTGAACACAACCTATAAAACACTACACTGGACAAAGAAGTGAAGAAGAGTGCGCAGAAAGACAAAACACACTTCTACAACACACTTGCAAGTGAAGTAGAACAGGCTGCAGGTAGGAGAGACAGACACCTGATAACATCATATCAAATAACCAAAATACTATCTGGGAAGAAATCAACCCAGATGAAATCAATGAAAGATAGTGAAGGAAACCTAGTTAGCAAAGGGGAGAAACAAAGCAAACAATGGGCTGATCACTTCAAAAAACTCTTCAATCGACCACTACCAACACCTGCAACTCGTCCAGAAATACCATCAACAGTCCAGCCACAGAATTACCAGTGAGTAGGAGCAGAGTCCTGAACACAATGAAACTGCTGAAATCCAGGAAAGCAACAGGACCAGATGGAATTCCACAAGAACCACTGAAAACAGACGCATAGACAACAGCACACATGCTCACACCACTACTGCAGAAGGTTTGCAAGGAAGGAAAGGTACCTGCCCATTGATTAAAAGAAGGGCTACCTTGTCAAACTCCTACCGGAGAGATACCTAAGTCTTTGCAAGAACAGGAACTCGTGCGGAATCATGCTCTACCCCTGTCCACCTAAACCAAGCAAAATATTAAGCCGCATCATCCTGGAGATACTAAAAGATGCGCTGGGTTTAAAATTACTACTGGA